TATATATATATATATTGAAAGACAGGCAGAACGAAGGACCGGCATGGTGTGGTGGTGAACGTGTTAGCTCTCGGAAAGGTTAATAACGCGTTCATTCCCCATCGCAGACACCTGCGGTCCGGAGTTTTGCAAATATCTCAGCATCATAGAAATAAAAATATCGTTGTCAACGAGTTACTGCTTCATTCTTGACACAATATTATGTACTTTTTGTCTGAACTATTTCAAAGTTTTCTTGGAAGTCTTAGCTTCAGTTTTGAATGAGGACTACTTCAAACTCATCACTCTGCATTTGGCTCGTCATATTCCTATAACACGATGTCATTTTCTTCAGATGGTGTACGTTGAGAAGTCTGAGGATTTTCTGTTTCCTAGAGTGATGAAGAATCTGTGAAAAATTCCGTTAAATATCATATGGGTGTATATCGACATTTATTAAAGTAATCAGAAACAAAAGCTTGAACGATAGAATGTCTCAGGATATATTTCTGAGGGACGTCAATCTTTGCGCTCATATTCCTGATACGTGACTTTATGTAGTATAGAAGCTACTTCGGCTTTCTTCTGCTTATTTATCGTCACCACTTGTTTATTTCCTTTTCCACTGTACCACATCAGAATCGAATTTCGTTCCCTCTTCTTTTTATGGTGGCACTGATTTGACCGGAAGCTTGGTAGCCGTTCGCAGCAGTTGAATCAATGCCGAATATCTGGTTTATTTGTGGTGACGTTCCAGTTTTTGGTGGTGTTGTCGACAGTCTGATGTCGATTTTGTATTAGTAAGTGCATAAAAATGAACGAAGATACAGTACCCTATGATTGATATCATCTTTCTTTAAAATTTGAACACTGCATTATTGTCCTCATCGTTCGTTTCCTGACCACCGTATAACAACCAATGACTGTTTTACTGGGGGTTTCTTGTCATTCGTACATGGGTAGTTGCTTTGCTACTCGTCTTTGCGTTTGGCATAATTTACGAAGATTCCCTGTCTTTCGTTATGTTTGTGTTCCGTTTACTGAACAGAACGCGATTTATCGCGTGGAGCCAACGAGAATGTGAGATTTGTAGTATTTGCCATATTCAGTGATATAAGAGCTTTTTGTTCGTCTCCTTTCAATTAGTCCTAACTTTCGCTCTTTAAGTGGTGCTTTCATTGACTAAATGCTACCACTTTTTTGACGAATTATAGACAGATTTGAAGTATAGAGGTCTTCGAAAGAGATTACACTAATCTTTTTTTGTTCCATTTCTCGTCTCTTTATCTTAATTCTATTCTTTATCACACGCTCTATATTTGCTTTCAAACTAAAGGACTCTACCTTTGTACTAATGTTTCTAGACCTTCATTAGGTGATTGCTTGCTGTTACTCTTTTTTTTTTTCGTGATAAGTATGCTGCTTTCTCTGGGAACAGTGCTTAGTGGGTAAATTTTCAGGATTTTTAATTCAAGAGGTTTCGGGAATGTTTTCTGAATTAGCTACTTCGTAACTCTTTGTTTTCAGTTCATCTCTCAAAATAATCTTTTTATCTAGCTATAAATCACATACACCAGCTGTTCCTAGATCTCTATCTCGATTTTTATAAACTAGTCATAGGATGTCATTATGTCGTTGCTGTTTTTGAAGTCTATTAATTCTTCCGGATTTCCCATCTCGTCACTATTTTGTTCAGTGTGTCGAGTCCATCGATTCCATTCCTTATCACGGACATCCTTTTCATTTCACATCCGAATGACATGATGAAATCAGTACAGTCGTCAAGTGTTTCGTACCGGTTCGCACCATTGGCGCTAGTTGTCTGTTGTGCCTTACAGCATCTGATGACCGCCGATGTAGTCACACAACCATCGATTAGCACCCCTGATTCTGGACGCTTCACTTCAATTCGTACCGTGCTCGGTGAATGGAAACAGTTATTTGATGGATGTAATTTTATCAAGAGGAAAGAACGCAGGTTGGTACCTACAATCGAGAGAGAAGGTGTTATACACTAGTTCTCGTACAACATCACATCCGGTTGATATTACTGTTATTGTTATCATGCTTCTGGGTACTCACCGTCACACTTGAGCTATTGAATTGTCATGAAACTTCAATGCTTGTTAATAAAGTTTCAACAAGAATAGACCTTGGAAATGGATCTAACATTCCTTTCTGTTCACCACTTTTCTTCTATCCATCGAAATCTATATTTCAGTCGATCACGACGAAGAGATGTCAAGGATGCAAAATCGAAACGTGTTGTAAGCGCTTCTGTAGCTCAACGGTCATTAACGAGAAAATCACAGTCAACGGAATTGTGTGTATGCGATTCTATAGACGATCATGTATGTACTTCTTATCTCGCTTTTTCTTAGTAGCATCAGGTACTACCTTTTAGTTTTGAAAAAGTTTTACTCTAATGGGTACCAATCAAGTAGCACCAGTATCCAGGTGTCAGAACAGACTAATCATTGACTCATTGCCATCCGTATGTATTCGTAGCACTGAACGGATTGTTTGTTGATGGAAGACTTTTCTTAGGTATTCTGAAAATAAATTTTTGATATTTATTAAGACAATATGTATCATCTTTAAAGGGAAACTTACTTCCTTGAATACCTGGATGGCCCGTTCTCAATGGTTGAGCGGGCCCCAGCATTATTTCCATTTTTCGGGGTTTTGCTGGTTTAGCCATTGTGTTTCTCTGGAGTGCCGAGGTCAGCCTGACCAAAGTCTGCCCCAGGTCATCCCCACCACAGGCAGTCGCAGCCCTTGTGGAACAGAGGGAGATTTGTTACCATGCGACTGGTTTAATACCAAAACTGTGATGGGTCTTGGTATTGGTTTGCTCTTGGCTGGGCTTCCCGGTAGAAATCCTGGACTCCTCAGCTTGGGAGATCCTCTGGGTGTATGAATCTCCTCACTGTACATCGTAGCCCAACACCCAGGAACATTTCCCAGCCACTATGAGGCGGTAATCCGTTGGGAGGTTAAAGGGAAACTATACTGCAGCGATTTGGTGGCAGATCTTTAAAGGAGTGCGTGCGGCGCAGTGGTTGGAGGCGCCGCTGCGACACACACGTGAAATTGATCCCGCGCTCATGGCTCACTAAACCCTTCATCCCTCCGGGATCGGAAACTTGTTGCCGGACTTATCTGAGAAGCTAGCAACACTGGCTTGATGCATTGGTAGGACCCCGCGAGTCATTGTAAAGGTCGGATATGCATTCAATCTCCTCCAAACGATGCTTAATGAAGTCGAATGCATACCGAGAGCTTTATCCTTTTTATACTACTTAACGGCTGATAGAAAGAAACACTATTCGTTGTACAATTTTTTTTGATCGGAAATATTTTTTCACACATACATATAGATATGTGTAATTTATTGTCAGGTGATCGAGAAATTCACTGCACTTCCTCCTGGTATTGACTCTCGTGAGTGGCTTGCGACACACAGTAAGTTTTTCTCACAGAAAATTTGTAGAGGATTAATTGTTCCAAGTTTCTATGTTCGATATGGCTCCTGATAGTCGTATGCTTAAATCTTTTCTTTCCGCAACACACGATTTTTTTTTAGCTTCTTCTTGGATAAAAGTGATATGAAGTTGAGGAAAAACTCGATGGGATTAGTGATGACCATGAAAGGGAATTCTAGCTTTCTAGGTTTTTTGGGATATCTAAGCAGTAGATCGGAATCTAAATTGAATACTTATGTTGTTAATCATCTTTATGTCAAATTTTATGCGGAATTCTACGAATGTTCTTTTTTTAGCTCATTTCTCTGTGTCTCTTAAGAATGGATGGTGTATTAACTAATATCTTTGAAAAAATATCTTTGTTGTTGAAGACCTCCGCACCAGTATTCTTTTTTTATTAACAAATATCAATAGAAGTAATGTCTACTATTGTTACAAATAACTGAGAGAGAGAGAGAGAGAGAGTAAGTAAAAATTACTAATAGCAGTCATTACTTAATCGTTTCCAGCGTTGGCGTTGTTTGATCATGTGAATGCTTTGTGTGGTAGTTTATCCGAATTCTGTACGCCGGTAATATGTCAACATATGAGTTATCCAGGAACGGCGTAAGTTTTTCTTTTTTTCAATGATTTTTAATAGATAGATCAGTGTCATCGGCATTTTTTGTCCGAGAAGTTCACTTTCTTATCATAAATGTGTATTGTTTTCAGTAAAGCGTATTATATTGACGAACGAGGAAAGAGACATGTGTATTCTGCGATGCAGTATATGGACTGCGTGATGTCGTTATGTGAGAAAGCGAGTCGAAATGAAGAGGTGTTTCCAACGAAATATGGTATGTGCCGCCATCCATATGGGTAGTATACGTCTGTACAGCTAGGTTTAATGTTCATTGCATTTGCCATGCTTTTTTTTCTTCTCTTGTCATGTATTACTGTTTTTTTTACTGCTAACTGCAAAAGCAGAAATGTAACTAGGGTGGTCTAAAGCACAAGCACCCTTAGGGTTAATTGTTACGGTCGTCATCAAGCGTACTTTTTACAATAACTGGATACATACATAGATACGATCAATTGCTATGAAATGCATGTGAACTAATCACGCTATCAGTTTTACTGAAACTTATTTCAGGTAGTCAATTTTCGGGTGATTTCGATTCATATATTCGACGGGTCATCCGCCTACTCTGGCATTGTTGTGGACATTTGGCATCAAAACATTGGGATGAATTGGGTTCGTCGTGTCCGGTTTTCTCTTTCTACGTCGCTTTATCTTGATTTCTTGTTTTGTCGAGAACGCTGCACGAGAATCTCATCTATTAGAAAAGGGCTATGTTTACGTACTAGAAAAGGAAAGTGATTAACCACTTAATTGAAGTTAGGAGTTGAAATAAAAGTGATGTAAAAGTCCATAAGTCTCACGTACCACAGTTTTCTTAGATATTGTCTAACTTTGTTTCTCACACGCCCGCAGTTGTCTGTAATATTTATCAACTTTAAACTGAATCCACTTTTATCGTGTTATTGTAAGACTATAACGAAACTCTAAACGATACGGTAAAGAGTTGAAAAAAAACATAGTTGTTTACTTTATACACATTCGGGAACATGTTTATACAAATTTCTATCAAAATAATGGATGACTTAGAGCAAAATCATTTGTGAAATTTGAGTTTTTCTTTCAGGTCAGCTTGAGTTACGACCACAGTGTGCTTTGGTGATGGCACATCTAGCGAAACTAAGCAAAACATTTGCACTTCTTGACACGAAAGACCAACAACTGATCAATAATATGGTGCAAACGGTGGGCACTGCTTCCACTTTTCTTTCTTCTTTTTTTTTTGTTTATTTTTTTGTGTGTAGAATGATTTCGGTGCATATTAAAGGATAGGCAATGCAACGTCATATTGTTATGGTTCCTTGAAGTCATTTACGTTGTTTTCATTCTTTCTCACTGTTTCTCTTAAAATACTTGTCATTTACGGTATTTTGTAATAGGAAAGGCGTGAAATGGTTAATAAACTTTTGTTAGTTTGATTAATTCAGCAGACGTTACGATAAAATATTGTTAGTGTCGATATGACGGCATATTTCGATAACATTACAGATTCGTCCGTCGAATATCATGTCATCATGTTGTGGCAACGATGCAAGTGGTGTGACATCACAACGATGGAATCGTGTTCCGTCATCGAAAAGTGGTAGTTGGGGAGGTCATCCGACTCCAGCTGTACTTACTTGTAAATCATATGCACAAACGTGTTAGAGTAGTAGTGATTCTTCTTCTTTTACCGTGATTTTGTTTTTTCGTTTTTCTCTCATTCATAGGTATATACCTGATATTCACCTCGTTCTCTTTTTTTTCTTTAACTTTCTCAAGAAACATCGATCGAGCGATTGTCGACGATCATCTCTCTAATGCTGATGGTGATCGTCGTCTGAAGCGATATCGTCTCGTTCGCACTTTGCAATCATATTCAATAACGGCTGTTTTGTTTTTACTTTTTTGTTTGAAAGAAGAACATTATGTTGGTTTACACATATACATATATTCTGATATATATTGTGAACCATAGCTATTAATGCTGATTACTTTGGGTATATTGAAAAGTATGAATCGCCTCAAGAGTTGTGATCGTCACCAATGTTCTAGTTATATGTTTTTGTTCTTTATTTTTCTTTTTCTCTCCGTCTCTTTCATTTTTTTATTTTTCCTATGAAAGCTACCGATATTATCGTCGTAGTTCTCTGTTCTTGTTTTCGTTGTGAAACTATGTGCAGCTTTTATCTGGTCTTCCTATCTGTGAAATGTACCGTAATGATGACCAGGCACGAGTTGTTCCAGAGGAAATTATTTAGTTGCATGCGCCTCTACACTCACTTGACTGTATATAATCAGATATACATCTGTTTCATGTGCACACTAGTACGTGTTAACCGTATTTCAGGCGTAAAATCTCGGTGAAATATCGGTTCAATGAAATCGTTTATTTTATGTCGTTTTTTCTTTTATTGTTTAAAAGGTAATATAGTTTGGTGTTAAACGTTTCAATCGTAGGATAATGTTGTCTAGCCAACCAGGTTTACTTGTGTAGACAACTGTTTGCCTTCGAATCTGAGAGTATCCTCTTCATGAAAAAGAATGTTGAACCACACGTGGTACAAAATGGTGGCATAATTATTGGGCAAGAACGTTTAGCGGCTGGACGAGAATTTCACGATAATGTCTGCACAGAGCAAGAAAACCGTTGGACCTGACTTGCAGGTTTTTTCTAACACAAAGCCATGAATGGAAACAGTGGTGTCTTACTTGTGGTCCAACAGAGCAGAACGCATCTACGAAATATACTGAATTGTAATAGGGAAGCGTAACAGAAAATTCTTGGTGGGCAAAATAGTCTTTTGCTACAACGCAGCAGGATTTTGAAATCAGAGTTTTTTCGGTTATTACAGATTGACAATGGTTATAATTATCGTCAAGCATTTTGCACCAGCAGCAAAAAGACACAAGTTATAGGAGGTTCCCTTTCTTGTAGCACTGGAATCTGAAATTTAAAGACTATTTCCTTCACATTGGTTCCGAAAAACTCGGCAGTTCCAGCAATTACTTTAACTAGGAGGATTTTCTAGGATTTCCTTCATGTGGAGTATCTCCAATCGTCTAGTTGTAGGGTTGCATGACGCATTCGTAAGTGGCTAATAGGAGAGCTGAGCGGAGATCGATGTGGACCGTGCAGTTAGCGTGAAACGTATTTGGGTTTAGGGATAAACTCTGTCTTTATTGCACCAAAGTACTGTCTACAATCCTATAAATACAATGATATCCATGAATATATCCTATCCTGTACATTAATTCGGTAAAAGGAGTGAAATCAAGTTGCTGAAGAGTACATGTTTGTTACCGAGAAATTAGTCTTCGGTGAATACGGGCACACCATACAGGTTCCACCTGTGAGTTTAACAAGCCTGCAGGGCAAATTACATCCCGTAACCCGTTGGTGCTCTTGTTAAAAACTAATAATAATAATAATAATAATAATAATAATAATAATAATAATAATAATAATAATATTAACAATAATAACAATAATAATAGTAATAATAATAATGATAATAATAATAATGACAATAATAATAATGATAATAGTAATGATAGTAGTAATAATAATAATAAGTAATAAATAAATAATAATAATTAATAATAATAATATTAATTAATAATAATAACATTAATTAACAGCAATAATAATTAATAATAATAATAACAATTAATAATAATAGTAATAATCAAAAGTAACAGTAATAATAATTGATAATAACAATGATAGTAATTAGTAATAATGATATTTAATAACAATAATTAATAATAATAGTAAATAATAATATCTAATAATAATAATAGTAATAATAATTAATAATAACAATAAAGATAATTAATAATAATAATAAATAATAATATTAATCGATAATAATAGCATTAGTTAATAATAACATTAATTAATAATAATAATTAACTATAATAATAATTATAATAATAATTAATAATAATAGTATTAATCAATAATAATAGCATTAATTAATCACCTGTATCACCTGTAGTTCCGTTGATCGTCGAGTGACTCAAGCGGGTGCCAGTAAATCTTCCATTTTTCCCTGTCGCGTGCAAGAGTAGCGCAGTGGGTTCTGCTTGCTCTAGAGGCTCGTCGAGCATCACATCTTTCTTCAACGCTCTTTGTGAAGAACTTTGGCCATCGGGTCGGTGTACTTTCTGCAGTACGTTTGACATCCCGAGGAGTCCAGTCACTAACGGCTCTTATTCATTCGTTGTCATTCATACGCATTGCGTGTCCGGCCCACACTACCTTCGACTGTTTGGCCTACAGAACGGCATCTTTGATTTCTGACCGTTGACGCAGGTCGGAGCTTCGGATCCCATCCTTTGCTTGCGCGAAACGGGATTCCCCTAGCATCGTCCTTTCAGCTGCGCGCTCGATAACTCTGAGTAATCTTTCATCGTGCTTATTCAGCGACCAGGTTTCTGACGCATACGTTATAGGGCAGCAAGTACTGTTGACTCGAAAAGGTGGGCACGGAGTCGGGTGTTCTTTGTCTTCTTCACTACATGCTCGATGCTCTTGAAAGCTCCCCAAGCCGTTCGTTTTCTTCTGCACAGCTCTGGAGCTAGGTCGTTCGTCATATTGATTTCACGACCTAGATAGATATAATTGAAGCATTCGGAGATACTCGTTCCGTTGAGCATGAATGGGGTAAACGAAATCAATCCGTTCCTCATGTACATCGTTTTTGTGAGATTTAGTCGAAGGTCAATCTTTCCACAGGCTTTATCAAAGTTGTCAAGCATACGTTCCGCCTGGCTAATTTCTGGTGTTATAAGGACGATGTCATCAGGAAAGCGAAAATGGTGTAACTGCCGGCAGTCGATTTTCACTCCAACATGATCCCATTCCAATGTACACATGACGTTCTGGAGGGTGGCGGTAACTAATTTGGGCGAGATGGTATCGCCTTGTCTAACTCCTGTTTTGATGTCAATGTTAATATCGTTGTAGAATGGTGATGTCTTGGTTGTGAATTTTTGTACAGCTTACGAAGAATTTTTACGTACTGAGTAGGGACCTTTTGACTATCAAGGGTTTCCAAGACTGCTTCCATCTCAACTGAATCAAAGGCTTTCTGTAAATCAATGAAAGTGGGACAGAGCGGTCTTTTGTACTCTCGCGATACTTCGATGAGCCGTGTTACCGTGTAGATGTGGTCCATCGTACTAAGTCCTCTTCGAAACCCTGCTTGTTCACATGGCTGTCCTTCGTCCAGTGTTCTGTCAATCTTGTTTAGGATGACTCAAGTGAAAAGTTTGTAGACGGCAGACAGTATGCAGATTGGGCGATAGTTGCCGATATCGTGCAAATCACCCTTCTTGTGCAGTAATACAGTGAGATCTGAGTAGTATTCGTGAGTAATTTTCTTCACTGGCTTTCTGAACGCTGTAAGTGTTGCCTCTGGGCACCGGAGTGCAATCATCTTATTCTTGTAATTGGCGAAGCTTCGGTGGGCTTTACGAATGCTTTTCCCAGCCTCTGCAGCTTCGACCATTACTGCTGCTCTTTTCTCTCTAAGGTCTTCTTTTATCGCCTCTGCATTGTTTTGCATGTTCAGACGTTAGTTTGCGGTTGACTGCAGCTCGTACGATTCCACGCTGGTGTATCAGCACTAGTGTTTCTGGAGACAGACGTCTCTTGGTGACTTTCGAACTCCGAGCTTTCATAGTGCTAGAGTTAAGATGTTGAATTAGCCGATCGTATTATTCGTCGATGTTATGAACAACAGAATCTTCCCAACAGCCGACTAACGAATTGAATAAATTCCAGTTTACGGTGGTTTTGGGACATCGGTTTTGAAATTTAGCGGCTTTTTCTCCTTTCCGCGAGAAATAGAATCTTGCACGAAGGAGACGGTGTTCTGATCCCGTGTAGAATTTTGGGGCAACAGCGACATCTGTTAGGCAAAACCTTCTATTTGCTATGATGTGGTCTATTTCGTTATTGTACTCTCCATTGGGAGACTCCCACGTCCAGCGTCGAGGGTGGAGCTTCTGGAATTGCGAGTTACCATGAACTGTCTTGGTGGCCATGATAAACTCATATAGCCGGTCACCCTGTTCAATCCATTCTAATCCGTGGGTCCCAATGTGACGTTCTTCAGACGTTGTTTTTGGTCCAATCTTGGAGTTGAAATCTCCAATGATGACCTTGGCGAATGTATGGTCTTCTCTGAAGAACTTCTCCAAGTCCATATACAACGCTTCGACTTCTTTCTCATTCTTTGACGTCGGTGCGTAAACGACGAAGATTGTCAAAGCCGAAATTGATCCACGTCTTCTTAATCGTAAACGACCGATTCAGGTTGTAAGTTGTTCGAATGAATCGATGTTCATGGACAAACTCGTGTTGACGAGAACGCCGACGTCGCCAACTCCTCTACTGTCGCATGTTCCGAGGAACAGTTCCTCTTCGGTGTCATAGACGGCGTTGAAAGGCTGGCGTCTTCTCGTCTTTGCCAGGCCGATAACGTTGTACCTTATCCTTTTTGCTTGCATGGGCATGTCTTCTATCGAGGACTCGGATGCAAGTGTACGTGCATTGTAGGTTTCAGATTGTCACCATAGTTCTTTGAAATCCAGGCAGCTTCCATTGGTCCTGAGATTTTAGCAGCCTCTCCGTACTAGTCCTACCCAACGCTTCAAAATTGGGGCTCTTTCGGGGTCAGGGGAATGAGGCCCGCTTTTTTTTTTACTGTGTTTAGCATTTTTGATATCTGCGTATAGCTTGCTGGGCTCTGAACGTGGGGGTCTGGGTGTACTCACGGGTATCTTGCCGGGCTCTCTCAGAGTGGAGCTTGTTTGTTGTTGGCAGCTCCTAACCGCCTTCCACATACTTCCAGGTCAGTTGATTGAAGGCTTTTTGCCGAATTGACTCGTAGAATACAATCCTCATAAGCAAGAACGCACCCACACACGCATGCATGAATGCGATTAGCAAATACAGAAAGTATGTGCCAAATCAGCGCAGGAGAAACAGGGAGACCATCCCTGGACCCACCTGCGTCTCAGGAAAGCAATGGTCGCTTTTGATCTGCGATTGGCCTCCTATCCGCCACCTGGGGACGCGCCGCGTAGCCTCGCAACTAACCGGCTCGAGATCCCTCATATTGAGAGAGGAGAACCGTGACCCTTTTATGCAGGCCAAAAAATTCACTGTTCTCGACGATGCTTACTGGAATCGAATGTATCACGCATCCGTAACAGGCAGATTAACTTTAACCTACCCTTGTCCAGAGCTTCTAGAGAATGCCAATGTTTCTAACGACTAAAATACACAAAAGTATTGTTTAATAGTTGTATCTAACCTAGAGAGGCATGCGAATTTCTTTAAATCTTCCTCGTCTAGTACTTCTATACGAGCCCCTCTACCAGCCATGTACGTCTTGAGTTCACTATTTTAAGCATTTTGAGGTCAGCCCTTTATTTCCTTCTTGCCAAGTCACACGCCATAATGCTCTGATGAAAAACCTGAATGCACATTCTAATATCTCAAAGACGCATCCTCATTGGTATTTATTTATACTTTCTCGATGTACACGAGACCTTTCTCACAATATAGATTACCCGGAAGATTTTATGATGAAACTATTACACAGGAAAGGAGGTGTGCCCAACACCTACAGCTATCTCCATCCTATTTATTATGGGTAACCTAACAGTTTCCACAAGCATATGCCAGACTTCCTGCAATTGAAGGAGGTTCTTCCAATATGACAGCAATTCCTCAGACATTAGATTGAAGATCAAAGCACTACGGATCCAGCAGTTTCGCTGTTCTACCATCTCAGCATTTATTGCACCAAAAGTGGACGATTTTTATCTAGTGACACGTGTGTGAAAACATGGAATTTCAACTAAATTGCGACGTTCAATGAAGAACGTACTCGTATCGATGCTTAACGACGCCATTATCTAATGAATGCATTAATGAGTTTGAAAACGCCATTACAACCAAATGATCTGAAAAGAAATGAATATAGAGCCGAGAGGAAGGAAATGAACGTGAAGGAAGATGGAAAACTAGTTAGAGGTATGGCATAATTGTGAAGAAAATAAAAAACGCCATTCCCAGTGCAAACATTTCCAAGAGCAAATCGAACACTCTATTCCTCTGGTCTTGATAAAATGGTTCTACACTTGTCTACAAGGATGACAACACAAATTTCATATATCCGTAGGCTCCTGAAAGTTACTATGCAGGTCAAACATACATCCAAGTTTTTCTCATATTCTTAGTGGAAACAGATTTACGGCGCATCTCTAAAAAATTGATCAACGCAAAAAGCTTTGCATTTCATTATTAATTGGGTAAATTAAGCAATTAGACGCTTATGTGTTATGAGCATTGGTGTCTATTTGGCAGACTGGATGGTAAGCAATCTTTTGAATGATTTAGTAGAATGAAAAAGAATAAGAATTTAGTACAATAATTCAATGAATACATATGAATGCACATATGAATTTAGTACAATAAAAATAAGAATTTAGTACATAATGGCATTCGGCAACCTTAATCGTTGACGAAGCAATATTACTGCACTATGTTACGCAAAAATATAATAGACTGGTTTTCCAGACCGCCTTTCTCCAAGAGCAACATGATCTCCTCGTACGTGTCTGCACAGAACGACAACTTCTAGAACAAGACAAGAGCGAATTTCATGGGTGAGTCTTTGCTGCGAGGAATCACTTAGCCCATGAATCTTTTTCTTCTAAACTTTTATAATGAAAATGATGCTGAAAATTTCATTTTTCAGCAAACGCTCAGCAGATGTGAAGCGACTAAAGGAAGAAGCCGGTGAATTACAGCGTCGGGCTCAGAACGTCTTAGCAGCAGAAAGACAAATTGATGAAATGAAGAAACATTACGAAATGAAAATGCGACAGGCATGTTTTGGTTTTTATCCTTCTATTCTCCATGCTTCCAGTCTTGGTTTCCATCCTCTTCTCATGAATACTTTGTACTTTTGTGGTTCTCGTCTCATCTACCCTCCTCTATAGTTTGATTTATACCACAGCCGTGTTGAACGTCTTGGCTATCGTTTTTTGATTCGATGTGATGCTTTGCTAAAAGATGTGACTGTCAAGCACTCAAACCAGAAGACATAGCAAACCTATATCTTATTTATTCCAATGTTTTCGGATCCTTCTTACCTTATAGCAATCTAGAAAGTTATTTCCCATGTGAAATAAAGAAAAACCAGCAGACTTGATGACTTTAGTTGCAAGAGCTGGAAATGTCGTTAATGGAGGAATGTGTGGAAATGGAAAACATTCGAAATCAGATTTCGACGCAAAAAATCCGGATCTCCGATAAGAGAGTGAGTTTTTTCGCGCAAGAAAACCAAGAAAATTACTTACTTTTTCGTGATATCAGTTAGATTTAACTTCTTCTTTCTCATAAATCAGTAAGTAGGCGATATTTGGGGAATAATCGATAGTGTAGCAATGAGTTCGATACTCCGCATAACCAAATGAAGTCTTAATACCCTGATTTTATTTAGAGCACGAACTATGACAGTGCCCTAAATAATGTTGACAACGACACGCTATTTCAACAAGGTGATCAAGCAGAACCTCCTAGGTATGCAATTTCTACTCAACATCAAATTAGAGTATTAGCATGATGATATCCATATAGAAGTACTGCAGTATCTTTTATGATGATTACTCTGTAAATGTCACTCTATGTCCAACTGCGTCTCAATTTTTTGCACGTTTTACAAATAGGAAATGGATGTCAAACATCGAAAAACCATTTCTGGGCCCTTTGACGTTGCTTTCAATTCGCGAATGGAGTTACTGCCATATTAGAAGCGTTTTAAATTCCTCATCTCATGGGCACACGTACTTCCAGCCTTTTGAATCATATAATTGAGGAAAGGAGGAGGATAGCACACTGGTCGTGATGTCGGTGGAAGTTCGATTCCACCCTGGGCCAACAAAGTCTCTCATCCCTCCGGGTCGGAAAATTGGTACCAAAGTTGTCTGGGAAAAAATCACTCTTTGCATTTCAATTGGGAACGCTCCAGCCCGGCTATCTCAGGACTCCAGGGAGAATTGCGCAACCAGCACTTTACGACATTCAAGATGAAATGGAAATCCTCAAGCGGCAACCAAAGCCACACATGAAGCCGGAAGATCTTTGTGGACAATGGATGCGAAAAAACGAATCGAATGTGAGAAGTGCTGGGATCCTCACAGTAGACGTGAAGGCGGATCATATGAAATAAAATAAAAAATAATTGAGAAAATTCTTATAGGGTCAACTCGAAATGAACAGTGAATGATTTCAAAGGCAATGTAGTTTCGTGCAAATAAACGTATTTAAATGGTATTCATGTTGTAAAGTGAGCACCGGTTTGTAAAGCATTCGGACTAAAAAGATGACTACACAAAGGAAATTCATCCGTTGCAGTATTGGTTGAGCGGTAGGTAGCCCATAAAAGAGCCGGTAATACCTCCGCATGACTTAATTGCATACCAGTTGCCAAGTATGCTACTTTCGCTTGACAGCCATACACTTGTATCTCAGATTCTGTTCAGCGTCTTTGTGAAGCAGCCTGATCATCGGGTCGCCATCCCACTTTGCGCTTTACATGCCGTATAGAAAAATAGCTGACGATTTCTGTTATTGCAATTTTAGAACTCGGTTTATCCATGCAATACCCGAGGTATTAGCATATTCAGCAACACTTCAGATTTACGGTGGCCATCGTACTCTGGATTTTCTATCCTACCTGTTTAAAACGAAGTACCCTTAGAATGTTTTCGACAGTATCTTCTGTTACCTTAATCGCGCTTGAATATAGTAAACTAGGAAGACCATTGATCAATGGATTTGTTACCTAGATTTCCCTTCTCTTCTTCTTAAACACTGAGAAATGTTCTTTTCGCAGATTGTAAGTTGTGCATTCGTTCTTAATGATTAACGTCCTCCTAAACCAATGTCAATAAGCTCACCGACCCTTTGATACGAAGTGCAAAAGAATAAAGATTTCACCACTATTCATTCCCTGAGAGATGATCCATGCATTTGGCTCCATTCGTGGCATCATAGAGATGACTGAATGGATATTTGGCCTATATAAACAATTGTGGTGGCTTACCGACGCATTAAGTCAGTTCTTCTATCCATCAGACAAACTCCACTTCAGTTCGGCCACAACACCGAGCAAACGACCGATCCATTAGGTGACTTAGACTATCTCTGAATACCACACTACGAGGCACCAGATATCGGGATATGCGACCGAAATTGGGTGACATCTTATAAATTAAGTCATTTTACCAGGTCGTTATAATGTGCGAATATAGCAGTAAGTGTAAGCGCTGCTGCCACTTGTAAAGTTCCTCGCTTCTATGCTATTCTATTCTAATCTTCGAGCGCACTCCTTCATAGTAGTGCTGGGAAGCTATGCCGATATAACATACTATTGCCCATTTCTTAATTCACCGGCGATATTAATGTAGAATTGCAAATTCCTGGTAGTAACAGTGTTATGGCTCATGAATATCATACATTGCTGCTTGTACTTATGTTTAAAGTTGAGACGCTCTAACTACCTTAAATGTCTATGAGCACTTCCGTTTAAGTAGAATCAACACAAGTAAAAACCAATACCAGGACCTGCCACCGTCCTGGTAACAAACCAGTCGCATGATGGCAAATCTTCTGATCCACAAGGGCGGCGACTGTCTGTTGTGGTAGTTTGCCCAGAGTGACCTCAGAATTCCAAGGAGCTACAATGGGTAAGCCAGATAAACTCCGAAAAAATGGAGATTATACTTGGGCCCGCACAACCAGTGAGGATGGGTCATCCAGATATCCGAAATACATAACACAAGTACCAGTTGTCGATTTCGTGAAGATCTCCATAACTGAATATGTGATCGTGGTGGTTTCCATTGACCTTTAATAGTGAATGAGGCTGGGATGGTGCAGGTCGGATGGGTGGCGCGAAAAGCTGGGACGATAAGGACTTGTCCTAAGCTGTTCAGATTTAAACACTTTTGTTAAGTTGTTGACACTATCCTATGTAATCCTGCGAGTACCGGACACTAAACGATTCATTGAAAACAAGATAAAAGCATGAAAGATGGAGCGTTTAGTGTTAATCAATCATTGATAGATGCGCCATGCATTCGATTTCATAAAGCATCATGGACGTAATCGTTTGCATCTATGGTCTATGCAATCACTTGCGGTGGCCCACTGATATAGAAACTCTGTGCTCTGATCCTCTCAGACAAGTCGTACCGTACTGAGTACCCTCAGAAGAATGAAGGAAGGGTTTAGTGATCCCAGAACCCTGGATCGAACCAAGGATCATCCGTGTATTGCAGTGCACCTCTAACCACTGCGTTACACGAGCCCGACAATTAGATTGTCGGTCGCAACATCAGAAACGAAATAAATAATTAACTTGATTCTTTGGACTACGTTTAGAAGAAATCCTTCTAATACCATAGGTGCTATCGTTAGATCGCTCATTACTAGAATACTCATACACCACATTTTTCCAGCATCACTGAAGCTTTCTGTGGAACCATGCCTGTCTAGTTACTGACAATGATTGAAGTCTAAAACATAGAATTTCTCAAAATTAGGTTTTCATTAGATCTCGATAACAATAATGAGTAGTTCTCTACATGACTGAGCTGAGAATCTCGTGTCAGTTCAATACTGTAGAAATTTATTGTGAATCGTTTATTAGATTAAAAATACTACTCTTAGCATAGCAAAAATAGCTACGCACTCCACATCGTTACTGAAACTGGAAACCAAAGATATTTCCAACACATAGCATCAATTAAAGTCATTATCCACTTCAGGAACGAAAGCGTACGTACAGTCCTCAAGAAACATTCGGAGTTCCTTGAACGATACATGGGTCAAAAAGTAGCCGCTGTCGCACCACGTCCAGCGAATTTCGATTCGCCTTAATGATGTCGATGATTCGGAGAGTATTGTTGTCTTTTCAGTGATGTCCCACTGTTCTTAACGCTCTTACGAGAAAACTCTAGTCGAGAAAAAGATTACTGCCAATCCTTCTTGTTTTCGCACGCAACACTCTGTTCAGAGCACAACCTATTGGGAACGTGTCGAATACGAAAATTTCGTTTGAGATGTTCTAAAGAATCAAACCTCGTGTGATTGGTTCACATCTACCGCAGGAAAAATGACCCAACCAACAAACCATATGCTCAAAACAAAATCGAAAAAAAAACCTTCCCATTTGTGGGTACGTTGGTGAAACTTTTTGCGTACGTTAAGCCCATACAACATTCTCTAAAGTAAACCGTATTAAACGAACATTCGACAGCCATTGGTCAGTGAAAACAAAACTTCATTTAACATTTATTTGAATAAATTTGCCCATGTATACGTTCATATCACAACTTCATTGCAAGTGACATATCGCATATCTCACAGTTGTAGGAAAGGGTACATTAATGCATGACTGATCACAAAACTAGGAAAAAAAAATGAAAAGAAGCAGTTTTAGACACGTGTACGTATTACACCTACTCCTAGCAGAATGGAAAACCGTAGACTTAAAAAAAATAAGGTAAAGCTGCAAATCAAATGGAACCTTTTTGACTGAAATGTTATAATAGTTGCCCATAGTAAATGAGATATATGCACACCTGCCATTAACAAAGTATATAGATAAACTTGAAAAAAAAAAAACAAAGTGATGTCTTACGAAAAACAATTTAGTAACTTTAAATAAGAAACATAATGTTACTCCTATAAGGAATAAATATACACGAAGCTGTTAAACAGCAAAAAAAAAATGGAATGAACTCGTTAACGACTATCAAATTAACGATTAAAGTTCATGCAGGAAAAATTCTGAAGGAAGCAGGACACCAGGGACTGCATTCAAAAGCATAAACAGACGAGTATAGTGGATGTGGTTTTGGTTTTCCATTGGTTAGCTGTTCTGCCACAGTCATTATTTGTGCCAACGGCAACTTGCAGGATAACTCGAATTAATGTTTCCAAATAATATAGACTAATCGAATATCTGGATAACCGAAAATTTCAAAGTCACTGTTATCCAAGACTTAGGCATGCACATAGAGCTTCATGTTCTATAAGCTGATTCTAAAACGAGTGAAGTGTATAGGTTAATCGCATCAATAAGGCTACGCCACATGTCAAGACTTGAGATTACAGAAGCCAATGAATACTAAAACACTAAGGTATAGAACCGATTCACACAACACAATACTGTAAAGAAATAGATTTGGTAATATTAATATACGGAAAAAACCAGATTTCACACGATCTGGACGGTATTTATTTGGGTAATTGGTTCAGGCCACTTCTGCCCATGACAAGGCATCACCCACGGCAACGAGTGTTCAGATATGGTAGCACGTTGTAGCTCTGAACCACCTTGTCTCAAAAACAATAACTCACCGTATGGTGTTATCAGCATTGATGAGATACCAGCAATGTCAGTGGTCTAAATATATACGGTTTTTGAATGGGTCATCGTTACTAATTAAGAAATACATAAAAATGCACCTTAACCACTGAAAACTTTCCATACTTCTTTGAATTTAATAGCGAATAAACGGCTACTTCGCCATGATTATTAACAATTGCGGCAAAGGTCTCGCAATTCGAGAGATCTAAACGAGTTGCTCTCTACAAGATATGGTCACTAATCAAGAAAAGTGCATTTCTTTGCCAATATACTCACCATTAGAATTGTGAAGACTGACAATGGACGCCTTTCGAATCCGCAAACCCTCTGTACTTGTTAATTTCAACTTGTAGCGAGACGGCTTTAGGCTCGGGAAATAATAGCTACGAATTTGTTCCTCAGTGAAAATAATGAGGCGAGCCGAAGACGCCTGCTAAATTATTCTTCCACAAAACGCGGTAGCGAACTCAAAGAATTTCATAGAGAATTGAAAATTTGAAATGAAGAACTTCAATGTACTAATGTTAAACATAATAAATTGAAGAATCATACTCTTGCGCCGGGTTCCATGATAACGTCAATATGGATTATGGGTGCCGAATGTCTCAATGCAATAGTTTTGAGCTAAAACGGAAACCAATGCTTAGAAAAGAAATGAACAACAAAAAAGAAAAAAATAAACATTAAAGAGTTTAGCACTTACCATTTTGCATACATCTTCAGCCCGAGGTTGATCTGTGATTGTATAGATCATTAGCTTTCCTCCATTCGTACCAACAACAAAGATATCATTCGCCTAAAAACACCGTTATAAGTATAGTCACTTAAAAGTGAAATAAAATTGGCCCAAACGAAGGACATTATAGACATCGGTTTACTCAGACTTGCTCTTTGTTACTGAAGATTAAGACCGCATTCTTTCAGAACGACCGCCGAAATTTGCACGTCAGAAAGAGCTCATAAGATATAAGCAGATCGAATTCGTGCTAACTGAGGGCACTTAGAGCACTCGAGAACAAACGCGACAGTACTTCGCTCATGAGACCACCCCATTATATGATATGAACTATCACAGAAATGTTCTCACACAATGTTCATGTTCATGTTCTCAATGTTCTATCCACGGTCAGCTGGGCAAGGCACTACCTGAACATCGAAAATGGAATGTCAAACTCGACTTCAAGCACTAACTCTAGAATCAAAAACCTTTCCAGTACAGCTATCTAGCAAGATACCGAGTGCTCATTTTTTCATAACACAGCAAAAACTTTTTAAAACCTAAAAAAATAACGAGTTAACTCCGATCTTCACCTTCAACATGTCTGTTTTTGCAAGCATTTTAGTCGCGATCATTCACAACTACCAAGATGATTACAAGTAATGAAGGTTTCTGTTTTTATATGTAACCACATGTAATGTTGCGAAATTTTGACGGTACCAAAACGTTTAACTCCTTCAAAGTTGTAAATATTCCTAGGTAGGAAGCAGAAATAAAGTAGTCATAGAATAACATCCAATGCACATACCCCCGCAATTCCCAATACTGGGACACTAAGAAACTTCAACGATCGAATGAACCACGCTGGTGACTCCACTGAAATATTAACTCATAATTTTCAAACATAGTTTATAGTGACGTTAACACTAAACTGCAACGGAGAAAACAGCAGTATTACGAATTATCGTAAAGTACAGATTATATCTTACGAATTACTTGCAAACTGCAAGTGATTTAATGCTTTTCCTTGTGCATTTGTAGAACGAACTACTTAGTCTTCATCTGGTATTCCCGTTAATTAAGCTAAACAATGAACTGATCATAAACTAGTGACTCAGATAGATACCTTTAACTCTTAACGGACAATCCGCATTGTATACAAGTGCGTTTGGATGATAATAATTGACTACTTAAACTATAAACAACTACAACCACAACGTTGCTGAGATATTTGCAAAACACTGGACCGCAGGTGTCTATGGTGGTAGAAATAGCTGAGAGACAGGCGAAACGAAGGACCCGCATGGTGTGGTGGTGAACGCGTTCCTCCCCGGAAAGGACAATAGCGCGTTCGTTCCCCACCATAGACACCTGCGGTCCAGTGTTTTGCAAATATCTCAGCAACGTTGTGGTTGTATTTCGCTTAGTACCCTGCCGCGAAATTATAGTAGGCAGAAAATAAAAATGTATAACATTATAAACAACTACATCCCAATTCATAGCGAGATTTACTAGTTGGAATAAAGGAGTAAAAACTGTTATAAACATTTGTCAATAAGACACAAGTTCCCTTATTTTGTCAAGATGGAATTCTGATTTTGTGGTTGCCAAAAAACATTTTTTAGCTGTCTTTGTCGAGGTTAATGTTTTGAATACCGAATCTTCTGGACGGACGGGACATAGTGGAGCAGGATAGGATAGAATCCTGCAATATAACTCGATGCTTAGGAAAATGAGCTTGCAAGATCAAAATTATAATCTTCGCATCCAGTTCTTCATAAATTTCAATTTCAAACAGATTTGTAATCAAAGGCATATTTCAGAAAAACCATATACTTAGAGTGACCAAGAATTAAGAGAAAACGCCTCTTTTATAAGATTATTAAGTCCTTAACGCCATAACTACTCTAGTTACCGAAAAATTATCAGCAGTTATCAAAAAACAAGCACCGGGGTTAACATCTTAGTCAATGCTGCGTCACAGCTTTCCATTTCTAACATCATAAAGAGTGCGAACAATTTTAAGTCTTTTACTCAAGGTCTTCTGTTTAAAATCTCGAAATGCGTGAAGATGCCGTGAAAGTGATCACTATTCGCCAATTTGGGTCAGGTGTGCTCAGTGGTCTCACAATTACTCTACACAGAATACGTACTCCAACAATCACCATGTGGACAGTACATTTGAGAACGCTAACCGCATCAATATTGTTCTCACGCAGGATCCAAATTTCTGCGGTGTGTCTTAAGAAAAGTAAAAACGTAAGTGAAATTGATGGGGCAATCCGATGTTATATGTCCCCTTCACCACCATCCCTATTCTCATGTAAAGTCCCCAATTCGCTCGTTCTTCACATTCAAGCCGTGGAGTTAAGTAGTTCACAACGCAGACTTCCTTGTTCCGGTGCATGTAGTAATGAAAGCTAAAAGGGGTGAAGCTCTCAGCGTTAATCAATCTCTAGAAATGCGCCACACATACTTCATCAAGCACGGTAAGCGGTGATTGAATGCATATACGGTCTACACAATGAGTCTTAAGGCCTACTGATGTATGGAGTCAGTGCTGCCACCTTCCCAGACGGTAGTGCTACCAATATGACAAACCAGGAGGGATGGAAGGTTTGTTGAGTCTGGAGCGCGAGATCAACCCCACATGTATCCCAGGACGGCTCAAACCTCTGCGCTACACGCACCACAGGGCTGTACTATTTCGAAATGTTTCTCCTAATGATTGCGAATTGGACATAAGGAACAGATCCATTTATAGCGCACATCGTTTTAAAAAGGCTCGCTCTGATATCGCATGCCCCGTAAAAACCTACCGGCATCCTTCCCACTCAACTACTCTTTATATTATTAAAATGACATCAGTAGTTAAACTAAAAGATACTTAGTTTCACTTCTATGTTAATCTATTAAATTTTTTGAATAGAATTATCGATAGTGGCCAAAAACTTCTCAGTGAAACCGTAGGCATTAATTACTATAACCCTCATTCTTTTAAGGCAATGGGTAAATTAAGCCATTCGATATGTTAACATCGTGCGGATGCCCGATAACAATCAGTTTAAACCAAAAATTTAAGGAGTTAGCAACGACGGAACACTATGTCTGATTTCGGAGCAGAAAATCCTTAGGACAATACACTCATATTTCTTGAAACGGCAGGTATGCAAATGAATGCGGCCAAAACTTGGATGTAATTTTGCCGATGTAGTAAAAAGTTTTTCTCCCCATGAAAGATTTGCAAGCCTAGATGTAAAACTGATTACTAAGCATATGGACCACACAACCTCAGAATTTCGTTGCAGTAAGAGAGCTCTCAGTGACGTACATTTTAAAAAAATGCCGAAGTTTCGGCATTCTTAACAATGTGAAGAGAATATGCTATGAGCCAGCAGCATTCATCTTTGATGTTACCGATAGTAGCGACTTCAAAAAACCTTTTAAAACAGCAAACCAAAACTAGTAATGGCTTCACAGAACACCTTAATCTCATCTTAGTCGAAACTTGATGTTAAGGGATAGACGAAGATAACTGCCAATACCAGCACTGCATCACGTCTTTCATATAAATTAGTGGTTTAAATCAAACTATGTTCGAAGCTAAAGTCATGTTAACAAGAAATGTAACGTCGCAATATCCCTTATTCTCTCATATTTCGCGTTGCTCCACTCAACCATCAGAAAACGGTATGTGAGGAAGTGTTTTCTCGTTTGAGTTGTTTTAATGACATCGTACTTGTACTCCGTGTTCTTCAACGAATATTCAATGGATGTTTCCAATGCCAAAGTGTCTTGTAAGCACAAATCTGGAGTATAGTTCTCAGCAGTATCAGTCTCTTCCAGTCTTCTGATTTTAGCAGATTTTCCGAATCTGTCCGTTCCAACATTGGCGTAGTAAAATTTTTCTGGGTTCAAAAACAGCTAACGTTTTGTTTTAATTATTGTCAGCACAGACAACATACGTAACCCAATCAGCTGCTGTCGAAGGTATAACACCATTACTGTATGATTTATAACTTAAGAACTTTCTAAACTATACTGTTTTCTGCTAGACAAAACTTTGAATATAGGTAATGTTCATGTTATGGGAATCGTAAGATTTTAATGGAATCGATGTGCAGGATAGACTCTACGCACATAAATATATACGGTCTCTCAAGATATGTCCTTTTTCAAAGGCACATAATAAATTGATCAATTAGGGACGCACCCGCGTTGTAACAATAACTAGTTTGAGACTTGTGATCTGAGCGAGATCTGTGGGTGGATTCCCAATTAAGTGGCACTTTCCTTACAGTTACAGGTTGGCATAGGAATATAGCATGGGTGCACTCCCACCAAGCAAGCAATTCACATATAATTACATACCAGACGTTAGAAATATTCTTCTCAACTTACATGGACATGCTCCGCGTTCTTCGATTAGTCTTTCAACAGGTTTTGTTACCTCAATTTCATCGTCTTCGTTATCACTGAACACTTTGGAAGTGTTATTCCCAGAAATTTCTTTAGCAGAAGATTCACTGTTTATAGTGCCCTAAAATGAATCTCTTCACTGAAGAACTTCAGTGACTTCAGTTCACCAAAACAGTCGACACCGACGACAAAATTTCGGAATCTCACAATAGTATTATCAAGTGATGCTACCGGCGTCTTCTTTTTCCTTCGGAACGTCTGCCTGATGGACTTTTTCATGCTCTTGAAACGTGATAATGCGTCGTCTAGCGCACCCACATGAGGCATATCTAGGTTTAATTTGTATGTATAGAGGAAAAAACAATAAATGAGGAAAAATCGTTAATTGGACCACAACTGATAAGCTAGTTGATGCCATACTAACCAGACTGATTAACCAAACTGTTCTGAAGCAGAACAGTTTGTTTGTTAATATCAATGAGAGCGAAACCATATTCGTTTGAAGCAGCGATAAGATGACGAGAAGACAAAACTGCTACAGCTGATACAGCCAAAGCAGGTTGTAACTGTACCAGCACACTGCAAATTCATAAAAATGAGGAAACAGTATAAAAATAGAACAAAGAAGGGAACCACAGTCTACCTTTTATTCTGAGGATCCGGAGAATATGGCTGATACCCCGCGAAGTATTTCAATGGCACGTTACGAAGCGGCAATGGCTTATTATTTCGACCAGTTGTTGACAACTTCGACAACTCAAATAACTCAACGTTCAGAGGTTGAGGAGTCAGTACCTAAACAGATATTTTAATATTTAAATGGCGAATAAAGTAGAATTATAAGGTCTAAAAAACTACGCAGAGCTAAAACTCTTTCACAAACCTTTTCAGTCTCTTCAATGGAATAAAGAAGCACGTGGCCGCCACGTGCACCAATAACGATGTGACCTGATTTTTCATCAAATACCACCTTTTGAATTGACAAACTAGCATCGTCACAAAATGGATCATAGTCGCCAACCTGAATACTCCACTGATATTAAAAACAAATCAAGCACTTTAAAAGATAAAACTGACGCATACATATGTTGCACCTACTTTTTTAAACGGAGGCCACTCTCCGGTGAACTGGAATTCGTCGTCGGAGCTTTCGGTATCATAAACAGCAGGCTCTTTTTCGGCGTCGTCTTTGTCCTGAATGTAGCTACAAAATCGTTTCGAAATGATCTCATCAACCAACATACCGATAAGCAATTACAAGGAAACTGGCAAGCGTTATACCTGGGAAAAGATTACAACACTGAAAAAGAGAAAAAAAGTATGGTTTTCGCAGTAGAGAGGTGGAAATGAGTACAAAGGAAGATTAAAACAACTATGCGTACCACTTCAGAAAATCCATGGAATTCGTTACGAGTATCAATAACAAACAACAATTTCATATCAGCGTGCCCAGCACACCACACCCGAACCGTACCATTTTCATGTCTATAAAAGATAGATATTTCATAAACTGTGACTCACAGAGAGAATGACCGCTATACAAGAACTATAGATATGGTCTGAAATAGCACAAAAAATAAAAAAACGACAGATTACCAGTCACAAACCCAGTGAGGTAGAGTTGCCGCTTCGTCACCTCTTTTCCACTGCGAGTTTCGCCTGAAACTGGTATCCTCGCATTTAATGGCCATTTTCCTGTTGAGTATTTGCGATTGAGCCGTACTGCTTCTGCAGCAATCTACAAGAACCATAAACTACAAAAGACATTAGGATTAAAGAGGAAGAAAACAATCTATACACTCACTTTAACCAACTTATTCCACACATGTTCGTCCACATGTGAACAGTGAGTAGTTGTTGTTATCTGGTATTGAACACCTTATTGTGAGTTTTAACCCAGTTTTACCATAAAACAAACAATGAATTGTCTACCTGACTGGCATGCAATGGAAACATCTGCTCGGTTGCTATAACTCGCCAGTAACGGTCTCTCAGATCAATGCATACAAGTTCGTTCTCGGTCAGGACAAGAGCACACGTGTGGTAGCTGTCAGCTTAACGAGGGTTAATATCGAAAACAAATAGAGAAACGAAGAACAAGGAGGACACTGTACGAAAATGCATAAGCAGAAATCAAGCTCGCCTCCATATGTCAGAAGAAAATCGATGACCGGACTAGAAAAGTCAAAGACACAGGTGCGATCAGCTTGTCGAGCAGTGACAGTAAAACGATCACCATAAGATGCATGAGGCATACCACCAGAGAACAGCACTATTCGCTCACTCGAGCTTAAAAATTGTGAGGTCATTAATCTACAAGCCCACTAATCACAAGCTACCTTGACGTTTCTGCAACTTCATTGATCACACGTTACCTCGACGTTTCGGCCAAGAATGCCTTTTTTGCGGGTGTACATGGAAATGGTCCGAATACCAGTGGTGGTCTCTCAATTACTGCACCTGTGGTTGGATTGCAAGAAGCATACGAACCGTCATGCAATGCAACAACGAAAACACCTCCATTTCGTGACCATGTGATGTTCTATAATACTTCTCCACAATGTCACAACTGTAATCTGTAAGCACAACAGAAAGTGGACGTAGTTATTTTGTTGTTTCGCTATTACACATGCAAAAAGGAAATGGAAACTACAATAGTTAGGCGGTGATGTGTATATGACTGCATGCTTATGAGACTACGAAGAGTCTCCCTACATTTCAGACAGCCTGTCAAAATATTTAAAAAAATCTTGGCTTATATAATATCTTCGGTCAAGTTCTGGATGACTCATGGAGAACACGGTACTAATTTATGGCTCACCAAAGAACAAATACAGCAAACTCACAATATGACCTTGGCAATAAAACGTTTCAGACTATATTTGTCTCAAACAAGTCCACTTCTAAAAAAATTGCATACCTTGCACTGCACATCAAACGTACTGCTTCCCATAACTTCGTTTCGTGCGGAATCATAAGCAATGAGATGTCGATGATCAAACACCATTATTGTCAGCCTTGGATTTGTTGGACAAACGGATAACAAATCTACGGGGTATTTTTCCCTCCTCGAACTTTCAGGAATTCTGTGTATAAGAAGAAAATATAGCATAAAACACAAGCAGATAATCAAAATAAACATAATCAACGCATACCGTTGCAACAACGCATCCTCAAACACAATGTATTCAGACAGTTCTAATGTAGTAATGTCTAGAGCAAACACATTACCGGAAACAGTTCCTGAACGACAGAGTCTTTAAAACCGCTCTATAAAAGCAAACAAATCAGCAAACAAAGCATCTTTACATAATAAATATGTAGGAATTACACCAGCAGATGCACGACTTACCTATGAGAAGCATAGCATCTTGAATATTAACCCTCTCCATCATACAGCAGCTTGTAATCTTTTTCAGTCTTGTCTCATGTAAAACAGAACGTGCTGATAACTGTGAACCTGGAACGGCAAAGACTTAGAGCAAATGCTTCTAAATGTGTGGTATTAACATCATGCCCGCAAAATCACACCGAACTCAATTTCAGCAACTAAGAAAACAAACCTTCTCAACGGTTTACTGCTTTACCGTGCCTTGGAAGTGTTCCTGGGTGACGGGCTGTGATGCACAGCGGGGTTCATCCCCTGTAGGGTCTCCCAAGCTGAGAATTCGGCGTTTCCATCAGCAAGCCCAGCTAAAGGTAAACCAATACCAGGATCCACTATCAAACTAGCCGCATGATGGAAAATTTCCCTCTGATCCACAAAGGCTGCGACTGCATGTGGTGGAGACTACTTGGGGCAGACTTTGGCCTGGCTGACCTCGGGACTTCAGGGAAGGAACCACAATGACTAAAAAGCAAAAACCCGAAAAAATGAAGGTTATGCTGAGGTCCGAGCAATCAGTGAGGACGGGCCATCTCACTAACCAAATAGTAAAAGTAATAGTAATAGCAATAATGATAAGTAATAGTAATAAAACAAACCAAAAAATAACGTGAAAAAAGTGGGTGAATGCGCATTATTGCAACAAATAGCATCAAAAATCAACCGACCTTCTAAAGAGAATCGCACAAATGTGGCATCTCGACATAAAACAATTAAAACTCCAAGCCCGCTAGCGAAATACATATGAGCCACACTTTTCCCTATGCCTTTTTTCCCCGGTATCTCTGTACTCCACATATAACCATTTCCTCCGTATCTAAATTAGGGAGACGATCCAACAGTACTACAAGTACTGATAGACAACTCACTTTAGCCATAAATCGAAGACAGTGATAAAGGATTCTATAAGCACTCACATGTTTATGTCTCCATCTAAGCTACCAATAGCGAGTAAACTGAGTACTTTGTCATAGGCGAAACAGGATACGTGGGATGGGAAACCATGTCGGACAGTCTAAATACCACTAATATAGACATAAGGCTAAGGATTGAATAAGAATAAATAAAAAAAAACAACCTGTCTATACTCTAAAAAATCTGTTATCAAGTCCTCATGTACTTCTGGACTCGACTTCGGAAGAAAAAATCGCAACATCTGGAACACACGGCTAGGAGAATGTGCCACACACTGCCATAGTTACTGCTATAACTGTTCACGAGAAAGAAGTAATAGAATAGCAGTGCTATTTTCAGAAAGCACTACTACACAGACTTTCCATACAAAACAAATCAAATACAAAACAAAGCGACCAGAATTTAATGAACTGAAGTAATAGCGCAACAAAAACGCAAACGTCTGCGAGAAAATGGCAGGCTCGCGAAACCTGGACGAATATTGTTGGGTCGGGGTATCAATGAACAAAATGAATCACCATTAATGAGAGGTCTTTCGAAGTAGTTCGTAACCTAAGAGATACAAAAGTACTCCGAATTGGTAAGAATAACTTTAAAGTGAACGAACATAAAAACATTGGCCAGGTTCTTCCTAAACAATTTAATAATGGTTGAGAAAACCACTAACGAAGTAAAGAAAATACCCCTGAATAGAACTATTACATCAAAAACTTTACATAAACTTTTAAAGCAAGCTGCAAAGGTAGAAACGTTCGCAGTACTACTACAAATCTTTGCAAAGTTATAGTAGTATATGGTAACAAAAGATGTGAAATAGCGTTAAAAATGAATACTGGGAATAGGTTATCTTTGCAGGACCTACGTGTATCTTTTGCTTGGATTGAGAGATTGCGCTTTACTCAAGTTGTCCGGTTATATTATTTGATGGGGATGCATTCCTTTCTGAATTTACAAGCTAAATAGGATCAAATTACTCTTGAAATGATGTTTACACGTTTTCGTGAAGGATAAGAATTATCAATATTAATGAATCCGCGTTCACCACCACGTTACTCCCCGGAAAGGACAATAGCGCGTTCGTTCCCCACCATAGACACCTGCGGTCCAGAGTTTTGCAAATATCTCAGCAACATTGTGGTTGTATTTCGCTTAGTAACCTGCCATGAAAATTATAGAAGGCAGAAAACAAAACGTTAAAACATTGTGATTTCAACTACAGCCATAGCTTAACTGGGTTCTATGCCGATTTGCGCTCCCCAGATCAACCCCGCTGACGGGTGATTGCTGTGGCAAAAAGATCGATAGAAATAGCTGAGAGACGTGCGAAACAAAGGACCCGCATGGTGTGGTGGTGAACGCGTTACTCCCCGGAAAGGACAATAGCGCGTTCGTTCCCCACCATAGACACCTGCGGTCCAGAGTTTTGCAAATATCTCAGCAACGTTGTGGTTGTATTTCGTTTACTTAGTAACCTGCCATGAAAATTGTAGAAGGCAGAAAACAAAACGTTAAACATTAATGAATCCTGTTGAATTCTCCCTAAATCGCATACTTTATGTTGGTTCTTGCTAATGTAATGTTTCACTTAGTGAAGGAAATATTAACTACCTTGACAGTCCATAGTTAAAGCACTACTCAGTGTCTTAGATTTCGATTAAAGTCGTTTAAAAATAAAGGTTTGGCATTTTGATCATTGTTTTTAATATGAAACTTCATTTGTCTTATTTATGATCAGTAATAAGAGCGCTTGCAGATGAACCAAGACGGTCGACGAATTCGCCCAAACGGCATCTTTCAATACCAGGTATAACTTCTGTCAATTATATAAATAGCTCATTATTATTATCTGTAGCTTAGTTAATATTTACTCAGTTTCTCGTTCATGTGTAGAAAAGCATTGAGTTAACAACTAAGAATGAAAACACGTCAAGAATTCCTTTCAATGAATGTCATTCTCGTTGGAAATTTGCTTATGAGCGTCGATGATTGGACAGGAATCTTGTCTTCCATGCTTATCGACCATAACATAACATCTACGATGTGGTTTTTGTTATCAACGAGTCATCCATTCCGATTTTTTTCCGTCATACCAGGAATATTTTATGGATTTGCTTTCTTTTGCTCTTCATCTTATTCTCAGTCCATCTCTTCTAGGCGCTCGTTGAGCATCTTCTCCGATACACTGATACTTCTTAAGAATATGATGACATTGTTGACAAAGCGAAACCTTGTTATGAATTTGTCATCCATGAGAGAATGCCCTTTTCGTTCCAATTGATCGACCTCATGAGTTACTGTAACGCGATGGTGAATAATTCTGACAATATGGTGTCGTCCTTTCCATGCGAGACAATCTAGATTCGGGATGGTAGGAGGTCAGAACAGAAGGGCCACGTTTTTTTCCTTTTTTGTCGAAAAATTTTAGGAAAATTAATGTTCTCAGCATGTGTCATACGAAAAATGATTATTGTTGGCTTTAAGCGACTGGAGGAAGTCGAGTTTCTGCGGCGATGCTACATATAGTAAAAAAGTGTCTTTTTCTTTTTCTTCGCCTTCTTAAACGTTACTATGTTCACTGGACTTTGATCTTAGGTTGGACAGTTCTTAATTTTCTTATAAGATTATGTTACAGAGTGTCTTTTAGCTGTCTTCGCTGTTTTTTTTCGTTTTCTTATTCAACCGTTGATTTTAAAAACGAAAACATAAGTGGATTCTGGACACAGTGTAGATACTAACTGTAAAGATCATTCCTATTTGGCAATTGTGGTTGCAGAGTTGAAAGATTCCCGAGTGGAGGCAGATATTCCAGGCACATGTCGATCTGTAGGCAGTGATGGATTTCAGCAATGAACTTGTTCCTCGGAATGATAAGCGCAATCGGCACATTTCTTTAAATGTTGACATTAAAACTACAGCTTCAGTAGAGTCATTTTCATATGGCCTTCAAAATGTTGTCTGATTCAATCGAATATACACCGACCATCTGTCAGTTATTCGTCTTCATAAACATTTCTGGACGACGACGCTAGAAATGACAAATCTGTTGCGTGACGGACGATTTTCACTACGGACCGCTTCTCCTTGATATTATTCTTTTTCGATAAAAGGGTTCTGTTACCAACTAAAACCTGTGACAAAAATGTGCAAATGTGTTAAGTTCTCATTCCTTAAAATATTAGGCAGAAAGTCAATAAACCCTGAAATAAATTAAAACCAGAAGCTCAGTTACGCCTTCATTCCATAATGAAAAACGTTTGCTCAAATTCAAACTTTCCGCTTGTGGAAGCCAGTCACAGACTTTCCTCATGTCGGAGATTATACGTCGATTAGTCGAAAAGCTACGAGACGTTATGTAGTGTTGAACAAGGGGGTAAACACGAGCCAAAAATGACCATGTACTTCCTTATAGATACAAATCTATTCAGGTGGTGGGCTTCAAGTAATTTCTCTACCTAAACCCTCATATACCTACGAAAAAACGTTCAGGTATGTATGCATGGGTGTTTTTGCATTGGCGTAAATTGTATCCCCTAGGTAAGTTCTGTACTTTAGATCCTGCAACATAATGTCTGCGAATTACATGGAAGGGAGAACAAGGTCACTTCCACTGAGTTTATTCCACGTGTGCTCCGTGAGAATCTAGCACTGTACTTGCCATTTTGCCCAGCGAAAACCACGTTCTTTTCCTGCTTTCGCAAAGGAAAACGTTTCTGATAAGGTTTATATGTTCCCTGTGTACCCTAGACCGACTAAAGGCATCAATTCCTCGTAATCATAGAATCTAAATGAAAAATTCTGTATCAATGTCGATCCTCGCAAGGTCTCTGTTTTAATACACAAGTTATGAAAATATTAACTTATTCACTCTAAAGCTCTCAGTAAGTGGCTATTTAACAAAATGGTATTGCAAGCCAAGTAGTAAAAACATTCTAGTCCACTGCCTCTCCTCTCATTCTTCACACATGAAAAAAGCACTTATCAAAAATATGTATCGTACGGCTAAAAATGTGTGTACAGGAGAAGAGGAAAGGAAGGAATCGCGAAGTTTGGCACGAAAAATTGCCATTTCCAATGGCTACGAAGACACTCGGATTAGAGGAAAACGTTGGGTAACTTTCCAAAATAATATTTCAGACGAAAGTAGGATCCCCTTTAAGCTGCCCTTCATATCAAATGAAGTAAGTCACGCCATTAAAAAGTGCTTAAGAAAAAGTGGTCTTGAAAATTATGTAACGATTGTTGACATCCCACCCAATACCCTACGCCGCCAGTTAGTTCGAAACCGTCTCTATGATCGTTTGTGCAGCTCAGAAAACTGTATGATCTGTCCCAACGGGAGAGACGGGGATTGCATTAGTTTAGGTATAATATACTTGATCTCATGTAATGCATGCGGCGAGGAATATATCGGGGAAACGGGTAGACCACTTTGTGTCCGCATAAAAGAACATCTAGATGGGAAAGCTAAAATCCGTTTAAACACCCCTCTAGGTACGCATAGGGCACAAAAGCACAACGGCGATGATTTTGAAGTGAATGTGCGGATCCTAGCGCAGGAATCAAAAACATCAACGCGCAAAACTCTTGANATATTTCAGACGAAAGTAGGATCCCCTTTAAGCTGCCCTTCATATCAAATGAAGTAAGTCACGCCATTAAAAAGTGCTTAAGAAAAAGTGGTCTTGAAAATTATGTAACGATTGTTGACATCCCACCCAATACCCTACGCCGCCAGTTAGTTCGAAACCGTCTCTATGATCGTTTGTGCAGCTCAGAAAACTGTATGATCTGTCCTAACGGGAGAGACGGGATTGCATGAGTTTAGGTATAATATACTTGATCTCATGTAATGCATGCGGCGAGGAATATATCGGGGAAACGGGTAGACCACTTTGTGTCCGCATAAAAGAACATCTAGATGGGAAAGCTAAAATCCGTTTAAACACCCCTCTAGGTACGCATAGGGCACAAAAGCACAACGGCGATGATTTTGAAGTGAATGTGCGGATCCTAGCGCAGGAATCAAAAACATCAACGCGCAAAACTCTTGAGGCGTTTTGGATAAATTTCAAAAATCCAAAGACGAACCGGAAGGACGAATGCCTCACTATCACGCGTGACCTGGCGCCCTTTTTCAAAATGATATTTTGACCCCGAGGCGTGTCTTGCTCGCCACTCCATGTGAACTACGTGTGGGCCAGTCCCGCACGTAACATCACGGTGAGTGACCTTTCTGTTCAA